ATATTCAGCACTGTCTGTCAGAGACAGGAGTGCAGGGCAAAAGGGGTGCTGGGGTCACCATGTGAGAGCTGGGGGATGTGGGAATGGTGGCAGCTATGAGAAGCAAATAGGCAAATCCATTCTGGGACAGACTGTGAGGGAATGGTTAATGCACTGTTACTCCTGGGTAGGACATGACCTTCTGGTCTGATGTACATGGCTGGTCAACAGCCCTCAGGGAAAACGAACTTAGCTGGGAACAGGGCAGGGTTTCTAGGGCTGCTGTGAGAGTAGAGAGCCAGTCTAGCAAGGCCATACTGGTGTCTTTAAATGCACCAGGAGGATAAATTCCATTGGTATTTATTGAGCAATGGTATTGTGATTTGCTTGCAGGGCTGTGTTTGGTACAATATGTGCTTATTATCTGACCATAAATAAATGCAGGCTGGAAGCTATTAGAAGACTTTCATACCTTAGGGCAGGGAAGCTATGGAGCCAGAGGCAGGGCAAACAGCCCAAACATTTTGAGAGAGAGCTTGATAAGTTTTATCAACAGAGTGACATGACATGGGTGCTTTTGATAGCAAAGTCAGAGCTCTGTGGACATGAAGACTCTTTCTTAGCCCTGTGTTTGCTCTTGGTGGTAAGAGGAAGGTCAGGGAGTGGAAAGGGGCCCCAACTCCAACTGAGTACTACTTTTTCACTGAGTACACAGTGAAAAATAACCACGGCATATGGCAGGACATCTAATGAGGAGCAACTCTCTTATATTGTTCCAGCTCTTCTGTTTGTTTCTCCTGCAGTTTATGGTTGCATAGTCCTGTGCTTCAACAAATTCATAAAGTCCAGGCTCAGTCCTACAAATGTTTGCCACCGGGGCTCCTGCAGTAATCACTTCAGAGGGTCAAGTTCTCAGTGACCTGCCAAGGCCCGGACATGCCAAGGGCTCAGTGCAGAAGCTCTTGGTAAGTGCAGTCAATTTAATTTTGACAGGACTGCATGCACAGAAGACATTCACTTTTAAATTCAAGTAGTTTTAAGGGTTGGTTGTAAATTTTCCACCTTCTGCTATAGTTAGGGTTGAGGGAAACCAAATACCTGGACTGAAATACAGCAGCTGTTAACTGAGCTGTGAACTTGCAGATCAATACCATGCACTCCCCAAAACAGTGAGTCAGAGTTGTGAACGGGATTCAGAAATTGAAGATATTTGTTTTCCTTCTTTTTTTTTTTTTTTTTTTTTTTAATTGAGAGGAAGTCCAGCCCTCTCCAGATTGCAAAAGCCATGATAAAGTCACTGAATGGAGGAAAACCTGGGACCAACAGGAGGCATAAAAGAGGGTCAGCCAGATCCAGCCATACAAAGCCCCAGGACAACATTTGACCTTAGAGGAGGCATTCACGGAGGCAATGCTTGTGTGATTCTATCACTCTGCCTGATGTTCCAAACAAGCCCCCCCGGCTTCACTTCTGGTATACCAAGAGTGTATTTCATCTCCTTGCTGGGTTTTTCTCTACAACTTTTTTCTATGAATGTGCCCAGTTCTTTGTGAAAGGGTTGAGTTACCTTGAACAACAAGGAAGACTTCTTCTCTGTGACACTCTCCTCAATCCACTCTTCAACCATATGTTTGTTGGTAGGTCTGTGGGGCCTGGTGAACAATGCTGGTGTCTCAGCCTTCGGAGAGGTGGAATTTGCAAGTTTAGACAACTACAAGAAGGTGGCAGAGATCAACCTGTGGGGCACCGTGAGGGTGACAAAGGCTTTCCTGCCCCTCATTCGCAGAGCTAAAGGTACGTGCTGGGGCAGCGTGGCAAAACTCAGAGAGAGCTTTTGCAGCACAGCAAAGAGATGCAGCTAAAAATCATGACTCAGACTGTGATTCAAGGAATGTCTGTGCAGCCCAAGGAGGGTGTCTGACACATGCAGGCACACTAGACAGCAGGATTCAACATGCTGTGTCAGCATTTGGTAGTTCAGGCCACTCTTGGGGCAGTCCAGGCACCTACGCAGCAGGTGCTATTTTAAACATCCCAGGATACCAGAGACCTTCGTGCAGTGCTGGCAGATATGACGCAGGACTCCAGGCCACCTTTAGAAAAAGTGACTGGAGTACACCAAGTGCTCATGTTTGGGTAACTGAATCTTCTCCCTTCACGTTATTCAATTCCCAGATGATTGCATAGTGGCAGTGGTGGAATAAGTGGGTCAATAACAGCCATTTTAGGTAGCTTACAAGACAACAGTATCATCAAAAGTCTTTGTTTTATATATATTAAAAATATATATATGCATTAACAGAACTCTGAAGAGCTTCTTTATTTAGCATGTGTGGGAGACTGTTGGCACAGCTGTGTGTTCTGTGAGGAAAGAAAGGGGTTATATTGAGAAGATTGCTTAGATACCATTTCCAGAAAGCAAGTGCCCACTAATCAAGCCCCATCTCACCACAAAAAGTAGCTTACCCATCACGTTAGCAGGTGATTCTCACAGTCCCTCCAAGCTGCACTTAGGTCTGGAATGAGAGAGCAAAGCCATCCGCTTGTTTCTCAGCTAAAATTTCAAGCTGCAGAAGGGCATCATGCTCCATGGCTGTGAAAATCCTCTCTATAAAAATAGCTGATGAGATTTCAAGGGCCTGTTTGTAAGTGCATCTGAAACCATAATTGCACACATCTTGTCTTGGGGAAGGACAGAGCCACCCACAGAAGAGTGACCACTGCTGTCATGGTCCCTAGGCCATGCATGACCTAACATAAGCTGCCAGAGCTCTGCAGTTGGACTGGCACAGGCTGCTGGTGGGAGGTAGGACAATAGCTCTTCGTGGCCCCATAGACAGCAGCACCTCAAGTCTCTCTCTCGGTTTATCCCAGGCACATGGTACTCTATGCGCTCCTGGCTGGGCAGCTGGGTGAGCAGGCTGTGCTGCTTGTGCTGCAGGTTCAGAGAAGTCTCTAGTGGTTCTCTGCCATCCCACTCAGGTCTCCAGGCGTGTAGCTGCGTTAGGCAGAGTGGCAGAGGATGAGCTGTTGTGCTTACAGAAAGAACCAGAACATTTATGTGGCATCATGCTGTGTTGTGTGCTTTCCAGCTCATAACACTGCTAGCTGGGAGCTTGAATGCTTCTCTAGCAAGATGCAGGAGTGGGGCACACTGATGTGAGAGCACACAGCTTGTAGCCTCAGAAGATCTGAGTACTTCCCAACGTGGAAATTAGGAGGGAAATGTCTTGTATGCTTTGTAAATCCTTTTTGATACAGAGGTGGGCATGTGCACCATCCATAGAGGAGGTCAGAGCAGGGGCTAGCCTTGCTTGAGTCAGGAAGGAAGGGCTCCTTGACAGGGGATTTGGATGCCTCTTCAAGATTAGATTTTACAAATCAGCATCATCTAGCACAAAGCACCTTTTTACTGTGATGTTCTGGCTGCTTCTTCTGCAGCCCATCATCTCTCCCTGCTCTTTTCTCTCTAGGCCGTGTGGTGAATATCACAAGCATGTTGGGACGGATGGTGAGTCCATCTCGCTCCTGCTATTGCATTTCCAAGTTTGGGGTGGCAGCCTTCTCCGACTGCCTCAGGCAGGAGATGTACCGCTGGGGTGTCAGAGTCATCCTCATTGAGCCCAGTAACTTTGTGGCAGCGACCGGCATCCTGACAGCTGACAGCATTGACAAGCAAGCTGAGGTGCTGTGGAGTGGAGCCAGCCACACCGTGCAGGAGGACTATGGGAGGGAGTATTTCACTCGCCACGTGGCCTTGATGAAGTCCTTCATTAACAGTGGCCTGAAGGACATGTCTCTAGTCCTGAATGACATCACTGATGCGCTCACTTCCCCGAGCCCGAAGAACCGTTACAATCCCATGGAGACCTACTGGTGGGTGAGGCTGCAGGTCATGACTCACCTGCCCACTGCCATCGCCGACTGGCTTTACATCCCCGGAGCTGCCCTGTAAATGCCCATCCTTCAGGCACCCTTCCAGCGCTCACACAGGTTGGAGCTGACTTCGGACTGTCTGCACCCATTGCTGATGCATCTCCTCTGGAGATGCATGTGCTCTCACTTTGGGTTATGGCTTCCAGTCTTGTGTTATGGGATGCTGGGCACAGCATGGCTTTTTTGCTGGTTGTTAATTTTTTTTTCCCTAATTCTTGCTCTTTGTATTCCCTGTTCTGATTAAAGTTGAAAGGTGTTTTCCTTTTAACTGTGGAGAAGGCAGAGGGAGGTTAGCATAATGGGTCAAATATGTGGCTAGTGTAATTAGGTCAGCAGAGTTCCCCTAGTGATAAATTTGGCTCAGTAATGGGCTCTTGCTTTTCCTCACGAGGACAGGCTGCTAATAGCAGAGCAAGCTGTTGCTATGAGATGTCTCGAAGGGAGAAACTAAAACAGGAATCAAAAGCAAAGTTTTCCATTTGATTGAAAATGGGTCAGTCACAGCCTTCTGTTGTTTTCAGGATACTGCTAGGAAGCTCTGCTGCACTGTGACTGTCTGCTCTTTCCAGGAAAACAGCAACATTGCCTCTGAACAGCCTCATTACCTAGTTTGGGGGGGTCAGATCCCTGTGAAGAAGGGTCCTTCCCTCACAGTACTTTGGCCAGGAGGTGCCAGAGCCAGCAACTGCAGACAGGCTGGGCAGGGAAAAGCCCTTCTAATAATGAATGAGATCTGAACCATCCCTCAGTCAGTCCCTTTGGGTGCTGGGACTTGCAGCCTGCCTCCACCCACTGCTAATGAGCTCTGTGGGGCAGGGTTGAACGTGATGTAGCAAACCAATTTGGCTCTTCAGAATGCTACTTTGGGCACTGGTTCCTGAACTGCTCAACTGTGGTAGACACAGTCCAGCTGTCCCCCTGCTTCCCTCATGTCACTGCCCCGTGCTAGGCTCCCTCTTGCTGGTAAGGGAGCTGCTCTTGCTTTCCCAAATCAGTTTTTTGGTTTCCTCTCTCTGCACTTGGACAGTGACAGGGCACTGTGCAGCCAGTGTAGCCTGACTGTGAGCTCTGGAAGGGTGCTTGAAGTGACACGTCTCGTCTCTTTTTGTTTTTTAATCTTGCACAATGAAATTTCCATGTCACACATGATTGTCTTCTCAGATAACCTCACAGTAACTGGTAATAGCTACTTTTGCACGGTATCCCTAAGGGTCTGCTGCCAGGGATTTCAGTCATTTTTCCAAGTGCTGGGGCTGCCTGGGTTCATGTCCTGTTCCCTCTGTCCCAGTGGTGACCACTAGCAAAGCAGCCAGCGGGCTGTGGGCACTGCTGGCTGGGCTGGGACCCTGCCCCCTTGCTCTAGGGACCAGCTTTCCCTTCCACTGCTAAACTTTGTTCCGTTTTGTCCTGTGTGAGATTAAGTGGGTATGAAAAGAGCTTATCATGTGCTCTTTCCTCATCTGTCTCTGCTAGCTCTGACTTGGAAACTGTGCCATAAATTTTTATATGCCGCTGGCTGTAAATGCTTGGAATCTGTGCGCAGTCATAAATTCTGTGATGCCTGAGGAGGAAAGCAGGCTTCCCTTGGAGATGCTGTGGAGGTAGCTTGTATTACAAGTAACAACTACTGGAAATGCCAGCTGGGCAGTTCTTTTCTATTCCAGATCATCGGCACATGGAGATTCCCTGGGATCCAGGACCCAGAAGTGTTGTAATCACTTCTGCCCCCTGCACTGTGAAATGTGAGTAATATTAGCTAGCACTGATTTGCACAGAGAGAAAAATAAACTGTGAGATTTGTAAAGCACATGTCAGTGTCTGCAGTGCTCATTTCTACATTGTTTTTCCCACCCCTTTTGAATCTGAGGTGAGGATTTAATTGGGCTCAGTAGTTAAGGAGGTGACAGTGTTTCAGCAGGTAGTGGGACTGTGGAGGCTCAGTGAGAACTGCCTGGAGCAGAACGGGCAGCATGACCCATTTCATCAGCAGAAGGCGGCTAGAGAGAGGCCTTTCTGCAAAAACAATCGTCAGTGTTTGCATTTTATGTGGTTTCCCTCAAATGGCAGTGTTGAGGGAGTGGTGCTGTACATTATTCATTGCTTCAGTGCTCTGTGTGTAACTAATCCAAATGCTACAGCTGCCTGGTAATAAGGATTAGCTCTTCTCACAGACAGAATGAAGACTTGCAAGCCAAGAAGTGTTCGAAGCCATGAAAGGACCTCGTGGCCAAGTCAGGGTTAGGATTTCACAGCATGTGAGCCCCAGTCCCTTCCTCTGCCTCTGAGAAGTGCTCAGATGAGCTGTCAGTGCCTCATCTGGTTTCTGCCTGGGTGGGGAGCTCCGGGTGGATGTCTGGGGGCGAGAGGAGCAGAGTGCTGGTGCGGGAAGAGCAAATATCAAGTGTTTCTGTATGGTGCAGATGATCACATAAACTGTGAGCCAGTGGAGTAAAGCCAAGATGACCAAGCACGTCCATTCCTGTCTTGAGCTTCCAGCAGCCATTCAGTGAAAACTCATTCTGAAATCTGTTCCCTGAGGCAGCCAGACCCTCATTTCGCATCGTTGTGTTGCATTAATGCAGGCATTGAGGGCAGATTGTTGTCTTGCTGGTGACTAACAGGGAGAATAAAACTCAATTCCATTCAACAGTGACCTTCAAAGCCAGAGGATGGAGGAGAGAGAAGGAGGTTCAGTGAAATTCCCTGTAAGTCCATGCTCATTGCTGCTGTGGCATCCTGCGAGGAGTTAGCCTGCTGAAGGTGCATGTGGCTTTCTTTTCAAGGGCCAGCTGCTGAGGCTGTGGCAGTGTCCTAACTTTTTCTGCATGTTTCTCACAATGCTTTGGAAGATGGCAATGGTACATCTCCTTGGTGCACCCTTTAGCCTTTGTAAAATGTTTCTGTTTTCCCTTTCAGATCAGCCTGGTTCTCTGTGATGACATTGGGAACCAAGAGGCGGTCCTCTGCAGGTTTTTTGCTCTGGTTCAGCTTAACGCAGCAAGGAGTCTCCTGGGGTCTCTCAAGCAAGCACTCTGAGTCTGGATGCTCCAGATGGCTTCAGGTCTTCTCTGTCTTAACCAAAACCCAAGTCCCAGTGTGTGTCCCAGACCTCATGGCACCTGTGGTTCCTGGTTTAGCCCCAACATGAAACATCCACTAGCAGCAAAGGGAGAGTTTAGAAGACAAAAAGTTTACTGTGAGTGAAGTGAATAATCTAAAAGCCAAGGGAAACCAGAAGTCTCTTCTGAGTGGCAAGAGCTTCAGAGGAAGTGGTTCATTTCAGGCGGAGGTGAGAAGCAAGAAGTTACTATGGAGATCCCTCATCGATAGTTCTGTATGTGTTTATCTCTACAACGAGCTACACAGAGGACGGGAATGGCATGCTTCTTCCTTTGGGTTTCAAAAGGCTCTTCCATTGTCACAAGTGGCTGACTCCTAGGTTTGCTGTTCTGATGTGGCTGAAGAGCTGAAGCAGTTGCAGAGCTGGCCAGGAGATGTGCTGTACCAGGTGCAAGCTGCGTAGTGTTGCTGGGAACTACGCTCAGCGCTGCTGGGCTGGCAGGCAAGAATGTTTGTAAGCAGTGGGATGTGGTTTCTCTTGGATAATGCTGACCATCAGGATATTTCTGTGTGCCACTTTCCTCCCAGGTGGTGGTCCTGTAGGTGCTGTCTGGTTGCCAGGTTCTGGCCAAAAAAAATAGCTCAAGGGATGCCAGAGTGTTAGCAAAGCAGCTGCTCTCCTCTGCCTAGCAGGCCCAGCTCCTGGGTGTTCCTTTTTCTGGCCAGATGATGCATATGACTGACTTGTGTTGTGTTGGCACTCTCTGCTATGTAACCTGTTGCTCTGACACCTGGAATGGAGTTGATAGGTGTTAGGGGAAAGTTTAGGATAAGAGAAGCACTTCTTGAATGTCTGGCTTTGAACCTGCAGCTGAGGAACTGCCCACTGCCAGAAGTGTTACTGGGAAGAGGAGGCCAGTGATGGCAGTGGTCTCACATGCAGCAACCACCCTGAAAACAGGATGGGAGATTACCCAGGGCAGCTCTCCTCTGCTCCAGATTAGGGCTTTGCTTCTGGTTCCTTTGTGGTGCTTTCTCTGCTCCCACAGGTCTCCGCATGGGCACCCAGTGCCTCTCAGGCAGGCTGCCTCCCCTGGGGCTCCTTGTCCTCCTTGAGAAAAAAATCAAAGAAAAGCATCAGCACTATCAGTGCAAAAAAAACGTGTTAAACATCTCAAATGAAAATTAAGAAGCTGTTCTAAAGATCTCTGCAACTGCTACAACAGGTGAGAAAGGCAACTGAGGTCCTGCCTTGCACAGAGAGCTGTTGGCCCAGCTGCTCTGCTGACAGCCAAGGCAGTGGATGGGAGCAGGACACCTTCTCCTTCTGCTCGTGGGCACCCAGCTCTGCAACAGTGCCACCCAGTGCACCCTGAAACAGGAGCCTTGCTGAGCTTTTCAGAAACTTTAAGACCTAGGAAACCCAGGATGGGTTTATCTTTCTAGCTTGGAGACCCCCCTGAACACAATGGTGCTGTGCAAATAGCAACACCAGCACCTCTGCTTCTGGCTGGGGTTTTGAAACACGAGTTTTCAGCTTCTTGTGTAACCACAATGCTGAGAAATGTCTTAGAAACAAACCACAACCAATACCAGCAGGTTTCTCAGCCAGCAGTCTGAGCCCTGGGGATTGGAGAGATGGTACAAATAGCATGAGAATTTGTAATGGAGCCACCTCCACCTCTGGGGCCTGGCCTGGGACCAGACACAGTTCATTGATTCTGGGCAGCGCTGGAAGGGCCACAGGGGTGCTACTGATACAGCCATATCGTCCTCTCCCCTGGCACTGGCTGAGGAAGGGAGCAGGCCTGTGTCTGCACCTCAAAACAGTGATGTGAAGTACTTCTGCCCTGACAAGGGTTTATCAGGAGGCACAAAGTAGCCGTGCGCCCAGGTCTCCTGCAGCATGCAGTGTCTTCTCTCACAGCGACGACAGCGAAGCAGCTCGTCAGAGCACTC